TTCCCGCCCCCTGTGGCGATCATTATGCTCTGCCCTCTCGGGCCCTTGACATTTGCATGCCGTTTTGGTTTGATGATCGATTAGATGCCGCGATTGAATTCGGTGGTGCGGGCCGAGGTGCCAGGAATCAAGCCCTGCTACCGTAGCACCCCGCAGTTGAGGATAAGAGGGGGCGGCGGGAACGTCTGCAGTCCAAGCCCGCCGCAGGCGCAACATTTTCAAGCTATGCAGCGAGCCCGCCGCAGGCGCCGATTTTTTCCTAAAATGATGTAGGTGGGTCCGCGGGTTGGGTCGCAGGTGGGTCGCGGGTGGGTCGCGGGCCAGGTCGCGGGTGGGTCGCGGCTGGGTCGCGGGTGGGTCGCGGGTGGGTCGCGGGTGGGTCGCGGGTGGGTCGCGGGTGCGTCGCGAGCGGGTCGCGGGGTGGGTCGCGGGTGGGTCGCAGGGTGGGTCGCGGGTGGGTCGCGGGCCGGGTCGCGGGGGGGACGACGACAACAACAACAACAACAACAACAACAACAACAACAACAACAACAACAACAGCAGCAGCAGCAGCAGCAGCAACAACAAGGCAACAATCATAATCCTCACCACGGATCCGTACTCAAGCCACGCACCCAGGGACAATGAATAACCGTTCGGCCCCCTCACTCTGATATTGGCTGTAGATATACAGTGTCGGGGCCTTCGACCAACAGGCGCCTGCGGATGTCATCTGCAACCTGTCCAACGGATCCTGCGCGCGACAGCCGCACGGCCGGCGGTGGCTGCACGCAGACGTGCTGGCCCTGCGAAACAACTGATGCGCAAGAAGCGACGCCTGCTCCCAGTGGCATCGACACCGGGTGCGCAGTGTCACCGAGCAACGACCAGGCCGCAAGGGTGCACGGGGACGTAAGCTACGCGACGGGCGCATCGACGGGCGTGGCGGCGGCCACGTCAACGCCGCACCTGGTGCATCGGCAACCACCTGCCGCGGACTGCACATGGCGCCTCCTACCAATAGAGGAGCAATAATCGGCCTACGCATACACCGTCGGAGGTACGCGCGGATTTCTTGGATCGGCGCTGGACCCCCCTCCCTGGCGCGCGGAGCGCGCCAAGGACGGCGCCGGAGGCGCCATCGGAGGTGCCCAGCGCCGATCCAAGAAATCAGCGAGAAGCTCCGAAATTGATGTGTATGCATCGAGGTCCCCTAAATGGGGTCGGAGTAGATGGGGTCGGAGGATCGCGACGGATCGCGGATACATCGGCGATGCATCGGCGATGCATCGGAGATGCACCGGCGATGCCTCGTCGACGCCGGCGATGCATCGGCGACGTCGACGTGAAGAAACTCGGCCTCCGCATCGAGCCGCATCGTCGGTGCATCGGCGGTGCGGCGCGATCCTCCGACCCCGTCTGCTCCGACCCCATCTGGGAGCGCTGGCGAGTCTGCATGGGGAGTTGGGGCCACGGGGGCCTCCGGCAGGGAGGGGGGGGGGTCCTGGAGGCCCTCCAGGCGGCGGGCCCGCCGAGGCCAGAGTCCTGGATTTGTAGGGAGTGGTTTGGAGGATCTGTTCTCCTGCTTCGCCAGGTGCCTCGGCAGCCCTCAACTGAAGGGGCCCCAGGACACACAAATAAATACACACAAATAAACATATTCCCAATATTTTCGCATATTTTCTGGGTCTTTGTCTTCCCCCCAACTTCCCATATTTTCTTGGGAATCGACGATTCATTGTGTCTGTGTGTTTTTGTCCCCTCCTGATCAACCACCACCACCACCACGACTTGTGGATGCCCTGACAGTGGGCACCCTCACAATCCGATCACCGAATTAAAACTGGGTTTAACATGGTCGAAGCATGTTCTAAAGTGTTTAGAACACGTTTCAAAGTGCTTGATACATCTTTAGACCACTTGTTAGGCAACCAGGGATTAGTCGACAACACGCTCCCTCTCCATGGATCGTCGTCCACAACGCTGGACAAGGTGCGCAAGCGAACGACACAACGACTCAGAGCCGCCGACCCCCGTTGCCTGGAATAGGACGTGAACAACCTCATGATGATATTAGCTCAGGATGCGTTCCAAGATTTCTAGATTTTCTAGGGGCCCTCGTTTCTACAGCACGTGTGGAGCATTCGGGAACCCGGGACATCCTGGAAATCCGGGAGCGTATCATGCTCATGACTGCTCGCTTCTTCGGTGGCAACTCATGGGAGCCTCCCATACCATCTTGCCGACTCTTTCGAATCGACGCTAAATCGACGCCAATCGACGCTAAATCCACGCTAATCGACGATCAGTCGGCACTATCTCATCGACTCCCAGACGCCAATCGACGCCAATCGACGCTACAGACGGAACGAAGAGGGTAGACTAGGCTCCCATGGTTTGCTGTTGCCGAAAGAGTATACAGTGAGGGCCAGTCCACAAGAAACCCTCCACAAGAAACCCAACCCTGAGACCCCTGGACGTCCTTTGATTCGTGGTGGGAACGTCACGCTTCCCGCGACAAAACCATCGAACACCAGGAAACCCAGGGCACCCATGAGGCAAGCAGGGTGCTTCCTGGCATGGGCCTCCACTGCATCCGACCTCGTCTCGGTGTGCCCCACCCCTCCTCCTCCTACTCCTCCTCCTCCTCCTCCTCCTCCTCCTCCTCCTCCTCCTCCTCCTCCTCCTCCTCCTCCTCTCTCCTCCTCCTCCTCCTCTCCCTCCTCCTCCTCCCTCCTCCTCCTCCTCCCTCCTCCCTCCCTTTCTCCTCCCTCCCTCCTCCCTCCTCCCTCCCTCTCTCTCCTCCCTTCCTTTCTCCTCCTCCTCCTCCTCCTCCTCCTCCTCCTCCTCCTCCTCCTCCCTGCCTCCCGGCATGGACCCCGCCGCCCTCCCGAACCGAAGCCCCTCCGCCGCGGCCCCCACGGACCGGCGAGAGGCCCCCGAGGCCGCAGCCCGACACGGGCGGGCCCACGGAGCGCCGGCGGGCCCGCGGGGATCGCCGGGGGAGGCGGCCTCCTCCTCCTCCTCCTCCTCCTCCTCCTCCTGCTCCTCCTGCTCCTGCTGCCTGCTCCTGCTCCTCCTCCTCCTCCTCCTCCTCCTCCTCCTCCTCCTCCTCCTCCTCCTCCGCCTCCTGCAGCCCCGCAGCCGTGGCCGTCGCCTCGGCGCGCCAGAGGGCTGCCGCCTGCCTTTTCCTTGACGCGGGGCCAGCGTGTCGAGCCGCTGTGCGCACGCCGGCGGGCAGGCGAACACATGGAGAAAACTGTGTTTTAAAAGGAGGTGCCGCGGCACCTCCTGGGAGGAGGCGGCCTGCAGCCACGGCCGTCGCCTCGGCGCGCAAAGGAGGGCTGCCGCCTGCCGCGGCACCTCCTCTCGCCATCGCTCGGACGTCCACTCCCTGTACGTTTTGTCGGTTTCGTGCGTGGCTTTTTCGCCAAAGGAGCAAGGATGCCCCTCGATGGTCCTCGCCGAAGGAAAAATGCACACGTCCGAACGATGCCAGGAGCCACGGCCGTCGCCTCGGCGCGCCAGAGGGCTGCCGCCTGCCGCGGCACCTCCCGGGAGCCCCCATCTATACCCGCACGGTCGGCTCTTGCAGATCGACGCTCGTCGAGTCTGTAAATCGACGCTCGTCGACGCAAGTCGAGGCTGGTCGGCCCTCAACCGGCGCGATCTCACCGATCACCAGACGCCAAACGACGCTAGTGCACTCCCACAGCAAAGAATCCCACCAGCCCTTTGGGCGACAGGTGGTCTAAGGGTCTCTTTCCTCTTCCAGATCCCTCTTCCTTCTGGGAGGGGACCCCTCCCCCTCCCCTCCCTGAGGTTTCTTGGGAGGGAGTCGCGACGAATTAGAGCGTCCTTTTTCGGCCCCTCTGAGGGCCACTTGTTGCCACCCCTCACGATGATCGTGACCCCCGAGGGGGGGGCCTAGATGCACCCGGGAGGCACCCGAGAGAGAGGCACCCAATAGGCCCCCGAGCGGCCTCAGATGGCTCAGATAGCCCAAGCTGGCTCAAGATGGCTCCCAAGATGCTCCAAACGGCCCCAAGACCGCTTCAAGACGGCTCGAGATGGCCACGGAGCCTCCCAAGCCTCCCTCGCTGTTCTTGTTCTCTCCCCCCGTGAGCTATCACGGGCATCGTTTCTGGATGGGCTAGTGGGGATACTTTTTTTTACAGCCGCAGGCGGAAGCGCCAGCGGCGGAAGGTCGTGAACGGGCCGCGGACGCGACTAAATTACCTAACGCGCGCAGGGCCGCGGCTCAGGCGGCTCACGACAGCGTCCAGGGAAGACGATGCAGTCCAGGTGCCATGACAGCCCCTGAACGGGCATGCAGGTGCGTCCAACAGGCCTGAGGTAGCTAGTGGGGATACGTGAAGCGTCAAGAATTACGAGGGTGCACAAAGCTCCCATGATTTGCTACCACATGCCACCTTGCTGTCGATGGCAAAATGATCGCGGAGGCTGGTCACATCAGCTTATCGCGGGCCAGGGCAAGGAGGCCCCCTCTGTCCACCTTTTGACGCAGTGCAGGCGCTCTTGGATGCGAGCTAGGCCCTCGTCTCCAGTCCTGCGGGGGTCATCTGCTGGCAAGGGCCTGAGGAGCGCAGCCGTGTAGTCGCCCAACCGCCCCTCATTTCGCCCCCCCGCCCCGCGGGCATGAAGACGGTAGACCGCGCCACGCTGCACGACCCACATGGGTATAGGCCTGTGGAGATGTGTTCGAAGGCTACGCACCACATCTGAATCGGTTGTGCCCGATGTTCAGGCTTGCGCCGCGCCGAGTGTCCTGGTGCGAGGCTAGCTCGGGCTCGCGCGGACCGCCTGGACCCGTCGGATGCGCCGCCAGTGCCAACGTCCGCCATACCTGGAGAAGCGGATAGCCGCCAGCTGATTGCTCGGCAATCCCTTGCGCTCCGCTCCCTCTACTACTGAAGGTGCATGTAATCTCCCGTGGTCGGACAGGGGAGGCAGGAGGCGAAAGGACGAGAGAGAGGAGGATGAGAACGAGGAGTGGGCGCCTGTTCGAGTACAGGAGGTGATCGCTGGGGTTAAGCAGTGCCGCCTCGCTGTAGTGGACAACGGCCTCAAGCGGCGGGGCTGGCTTGAGGGTGCCCCTTCCTCGCGATCCTCATCCTCTGGCATCCTCCTCCTCCTCCTCCTCCTTGTCGTCCTTGCCCTCGTCCTCCTCCACACCCTCTTCCTCATCCTCTTCCGCTTCATCGCCCTCGTCGTCCTCCTCCTCTTGCCCCCGTCCCCGTCATCTAGCTACGCGTCCTCCTCTCCTTGTCCACATCCGCCTCGTCCTCCTCCTGCTTGCCCTCGTCCTCGTCCTCCTCCTCGCCATCGCTCTCGCCCTTACTCTCGTCCTTCTCCTCCTCCATCCTCGGTCGCCTCTCACTCCTTCTCCCCCGCATCCTCTATCCCTCCTCCTGCCTCCATCCCTCCCCCTCCCTCCCCCCCCTCCTCCTCCCATCCCTCTGGTCCCCCTCCCTCCCACCCCCTGCTCATTCCCCCGACTCCGCGCTGGGGCGGATGCAAAGAAGGCCGAGGCTGTGCCTCCTTCACTTCCCGTCACCTGGCGAACAGACGAAACCCTCGGAGCAACATCATGTTTGCCCCTTAGTGTCAGGATGCTTCCCGGCCCTCGCCCCCACGATTGCATCACGCCTCAAGTCTCGATCCTCGCCTCGAGAACCGAGACTCGAGGATCGAGGCCCGAGTCTCGAGGCTCGATGATCAAAGTCGGGGCTCGAGCCTTCTCAACCTTCCCCTCGAGCCTCGTGTCTCGATCCTCGCCTCGAGGGATCACGTCATTCCTCCCCTCGTCATCACCGTCTTCCGCCGACCCTTCCACCCACGCCTCTCCGTCCCCGGGCCCTCCCCGTCCCCTTCACCTTGTTGGACGCCCGAAATGGGTAGGGGAAAAAGGGGTACACTGCCCAACAAAAAAAGGTTGTCTCAAACCAACGGCGGCCGCTGTTGGGCAGGCGGCCTCCTGTCTCAACTGGACACAGGCCGCGGCGGCGCGGACAGCGAGCCCTGCTCAAAAGGGCAAGGCACTGACGTTATCCATATCCACCGCCTGGGAACCGACGTCCTGGGGACCCAACGGGCGGTGGATATGGACACACACACACACATATATATATATATATATATACATACATATATATATATATATATATATCCATATCCATATCCATATCCATATCCACCGCCCGTTGACTGCAACAATAGATTCCCAAATCATGTGATTATGGATAAGTTCCCGCCTCGGAGGTCGTTCGTTCATTCGTTCCCTCCTCCCCTGCCCCCGCCCTTGCTTGCTCCATCCGCCTCCGCCCTCCCCCTGGAGCCGCCAGGAGGAGGAGGAGGAGGACCAAGAGAAGGCGGAGGGGGGCGAGGAGGAGGAGGAGGAGGACGAGGAAAAGGAGGCGGAGGGGGAGGAGTTTCGGATGAAACATAAGCAAAATACAAAAAAAATCGTGCCCGCTGTATTTTTCTACTATTTTTGAATATCCCCCCTGTAGAGGGACAGGCCCGACTTGACGCTAGCCCACCGCGCTGGCGCGCTGCCCCATGACTGACGGGCAACGAGAAGGAGGGGCTGGCATCACAGGGGGAAATATCGATCTGGAATCGACGATACATCGCCGATTCGGCGATAAGCCCCCGATAGCGAATCCGCACGTTCCTGTGCAGGGTGGGCCATCAGGCCCCTATCGGCGATCCATGGGCGACTGGGAGTCGATGCAGCGCCCGCCGTACCCACCCCCCCTGCTGTTGCCCCAGAGTGAAGCAGAGCCAGAGCGAAAACCCCCCCGTGGCAATGCATCGGCAGCAGTGGGACATGCCTGATGGAAAATGCAGGAATTGCGGGGCTCACGCTCAGGCCGCTGCTGCCCTCCCGTCGACGTGTGCCCCAAGACGGCCACAGCGGCACCCACTCGCCAGGCACGTCGCTGCACGAGGCGAGGCGGCCACCGCACAGTCAACCCGCACAAAAAGGACGCGCGGTAAGGATACAAGGGCCTTGGAAGGCCATGTCGACCCTCTGCGAGCGGGGCGCGGCCAGCGACGGACGCGGATGGATCGAAGGCGAAGGATGCCAGGGGAACATTGGAAAAATGCTCATCCTTCCTGTGCGGGTTGACTGTACGGGCCCCGCCCAACGGGCGTGGGTGGCGGGAGCGAGCGCGAAACTTGCTGGCGGTGCCGGCAGCCCTCTCAGCGGACCAGATGCTCCTTGGCGTCGCTCGGACGTCCATTTGCCGTGCAGTTTCGGGTTTCGTGCGTGCTTTTTTGCTCGATGGTCCAGGATGGTCCTCGCTGGTTCTCGCCGACAAAAAAATGCACACGCCCGAGTGATGCCAAGGCTCCGAAACCAGGCGCCGCCTCCCAGCCTGCATGGGCGCTTCTGGGGCAAGGGGGGCCTCCGAGCCCCTGGCAGCATCCGCCCCATGGGTGGCCGCAGGACGGCACTCCGAGACCGCGACGGCTCCGAGACCGCGGCGGCCCGCGCCCCCCTCGACGCCTCGGGGCCCAGAGGAACGACGGGGACCCCAAGACGAGCCCGGAGGCCGCGACGCGCCCGAGGCACCCGCCGCAGAGGCATGGCCTGCTCCTGGGAGCTCCCCCCGGCGAGGGCTCCGCAGCAGCCCCCCCGGTGCGCCCTCCCCCCGCGGGCCCGGGGCAGGGCCCCGGCCTGCCCCGCCGCGCCTCTCGGGGGCCCCGGCGCGGGGCGTCACCTCGGCGCGGGCCCCTCGGGTCGCTCCGGCAGCGCTCCCCGAGGACGGCCCTCTCTTGTCCCCGGCAGCGCTCGCTGCCGCGGCACGCGCCAGGGACCCCCAGGCAGTGTGTGTGTCCGTCGGCGGCCCCAGGGCGCGACGAGCGAGGGGGATGGCGAAGATGCTGGCGATCGTGACCAGCGGCGATCGCAAACCAGCACGTGCGGAGGGATTGGGCCCAGGCCAGAAGGATTCCAAGCACATGTTTCTGCAGGAAGGCGAACGCCTCTCGCACTGCATCGCTGCATCGCGGCCCCACCAAAACAACCCACCAGTCTACGGGCTGCTTCCTGGGAAGGGGGATCTGGAAGGCCTGACGCAGTAAGAGCAAAACGACCATGTATAGTGCCGCTCGTGCAAGATGGTAAGGTACCAACCGTCTCGAGATCTGTCGCATGCCGCTGGATGTCTGAGCTCAGGGGCCAAACATCGCCCACCCATGCCCTGTCCTCGGGTGCGTGTTGGCCCGAACGTCGAGGGGAATCCAACCGTGGCGATTACAACACCGAGACCCCTAAACAGGATGAGCACCACCACCACTGAGCTGGGGTCCAGCAGGACGCGTGGGCATAAGAGTGCCCCAGTAGGCAGCTTTCAAATCATAAGTCGCAGAAGACGGCGCGAAGACACGACCGTGAAGCAGAAGCCACACGCATCACGGCTGTGAGTTATATGAAAAGACGGCACCCGACACAACTGAACGCAACTTCGGAACACAGCGCAACGCAAATCCGGAACACAGAAAGGAGGGAAACGGGCGAGCGCCTCACAAATATGAAGGGGCCCTGGGGCACACAAATAGATAGACACAACTAATTAAAAGGATTCCCTATATTTTCCCACATTTTCTGGGTTTTTGCCTCCCCCCCCCACTCCCCACATTTTCCCATATTTTTTTGGGGGGGAATCGACGCTTCATTGTGTCTGTGTGTGTTCTTCTCCTCCTGGAAAATCATGCGTGCCAGCATGGGCCCCGAGCTGTGGGGCCCTGCGCCCCCTCGGGGCCCCCCACAGACTGACTGGACGCGGCCGCGGTGCAACCCTGCGTGGGCCCTGGAAACGACAAGGCGATGTACAGTCGGGGGCTTGACTTAAGGAACCCAAAATAAGGAACGAGGCTCTTTTTTTCCATAAGTTAACCTTCGATTGCCTGTCGAAAACCTAATGAAAGCCTGAGGCAAGCTACGAAACACTTAAGGAACGCGGAGCCCCTCCCCAACGAAAAGGGTTCCTTCTTCAGGGCCCCGACTGTACTTAGCGTCCCCCAGCTCCGTCGAACTTTTTGTCCCTCGTCTGGTCCCAGTAATCCTGGAGCAGTGGGAGGTCCGCGCGGATCGAGGAGGAGGCGGGGGAGGAGGAGGAGGAGGAGGAGGAGGAGGAGGAGGAGGAGGAGGAGGAGGAGGAGGAGGACGCGTCCGTGGCCATTTTGGCTCAAGAGCCGACAGGAGGCAGCATCCGCTCGCTTTGCCCACCTTGCTCTTGCTACGACTTTTCTCTCATATTCGTACCCATGGGTGATTCTGCTCTCGCCGCTCTCCGCGTGATCGGGCGGCGCCGGCACCTTCAACATACATAATTCGCCAGAGTAAAACACAGCAGTTCACGCCGTTCTTGCTCTTCGGGACGCCTCATCACGATCTCGCAGCCAGCGCCCCGCGAGCTCCGACCTCCAACGCAGAGTCGCCCACGTACGTCGAGATCTACATCTTCAACGCGACCTCGAAGTGCACCACGGGCTGCCACACCGAGCCCCACTTCAGGAGGCTGTCGACGATGCGCGTGTTTCTGGCCGTTTTTCATCTCACGAGATACCTTGCATGCGAAACATTGTGGCCCAGCGCGATGCCAGTTCGCACCGTTCCTGGAAAACCGCATCGGCGGACCGCCATACACCTGCTGTGCCGCTTGGTGTTTTGGACGCACTTCGAAAGGAGGCGCCTGAGTTCATCCCTGCCAATTTTCCCTGGGAGCACGGCCACGCACGCCGCCGCACAAGAACAGCCGCAGAGCAACCAAAACGAGACGCTCCAACCGCCTAGGCAGCCAGCGCCTGGCGTGGCCTGCCCACCCACCGACGTGCTGCGATCCGCGGCGGCAGAGGCGCTGGCTGAGGCACGGGCAGGGTCTCACACGGCCGACTCGGCAGACGACACCAAACCGTGGGCCAGGCAGCTGGCAGCCAGAGCCAAGCGGCCGAAGCAGGCCGCGATGCCTCGGAGGACCAGGCGGAGGCACGGCGTCTGGACGGCAAGCCTGGCTCTAGCGCAGCGAGGGCTCCAGAGGCTGCCGCGCGAGCTGCCGCGCCTTCCGACAGAGCCTTGGACGGTCGCGGTGTCATGGCTGGCCTTGAGATAGAGGAGCAGGCCGCATACATCGAGGTTTACATTACCGAACTCTCCGCCGCCTTCGTCGCCTACGAGGCCGACGCGGCGAGGCGTGATGGCGCCACCCCAAAGGCCCTTCGCGCCGCCTGGGACCGGCTACCTCCCGAAGACCAGGCAGCCTGGGTACCGCGTCAACCACGGCGATTCCATGGACAACAAGTGGGCGCCCCTGCTGTCCCGCAACACCGCCGACCAGCTCGAAGCCTGGGACGCCCTCGACATCCCGTTCAGCATCCGGAAGCCATGGCAAATCTGCGCCGACGCCCTCGAGGAGCAGTCCGTGACCTCCAGCGAGACCGAGAGCGACAGCGAGGCCAAGCCAGAGGCCCTGCATTCGGGAACGCTGGCGGGCGCAGCACCCTCTGAGGCCCACCCGAGGCGGCACGTTTCCTTTGAGAAAAAGGCGCGTTTTCTGGACAACCTCTGAGGCACTGAGGAACCCCCCACCTCCTTCGCTTTCCTCCCCTTTCACAGCTCACCGCAGCCCCCGAGGCGGCCGCGCCTGTTCGCATGGGCGCTGAGTATAGCATGAGGGGGGGGGCGGAGGAAATCTCGCGGAACAATAGCGCTGCCACCGCCTCGATGCAATCCTGCTGGCTCCACAGCCCTGATCACCCCTCTCTCCCTCCTTCCTGCTTGTTCATCTCCTCTCCTCCCCTTTTCCTGCTCCTGACAACCCTCGTCGCTGGCGCGAACTGTTATCTCGTGCAGCGCCACCGTCTCTTGGCAACTGTGTGTTTGCGGTGCTGAACCCCACAGAAGTAACCGAAAAGCACCGGGGGGCGGACCCGCAACAGTGTGTTCTCGCCTTTGTTTGCAAGCACTGTCGAGGGCTTTGCTCGGAGGTTACCGGGGTGCACCGCCAAACCCCAGAAGCGCTGGCTGGCGCAGCCTGCTATACCTTCAGCGAACCAGGCCTCCACACCGCTCAACGCACGCCCCACGGCGACTTCTGGGTGAACTGCGAGCCCAGGTTCTCTCCCAACCTTCCCCCTCTTCCTCGTCCTTCCCCTCCCCCTCTCCCGTCGGACGGGCTGGGCGGGATGGGATGGGATTCCGGTCGGGGAGGAGGGATGCGACATGTTGCTCGCGCAGCCCGTGCGCGCCCTCTGCGGGGCTGGCGTCACCGGGCGCATGCAGTACATCCTCCGCCTCCTGTGCCCACCATCAGAACGGTCGTCTGTGTCGCGAGCGCCCAACACCGCGGGGCGGGGCGACCAGCGGCCCCGGGGACGCTGGCACCGCCTGACCAGTTTATCCCTTTTCTTGCAGCCTGCATGCTGGACCCGCCCGCGCACGCACCAGCTTCAGTCCAGCGTCAGGTCGCGTGCCGACTCACAGGTTTTGCTGCGCGACAGGGCGGAGACAACCGATCCCTGCTCTGCCGACGGGGCCCCGCCCGCTTCAGGCGAAGACAGCCGCGCCTCTGCGCGGACCCCCCGCGAGATGCGCCCTGGCCTCGCTCGGCATCAGCTCCTGCAGCGGTGCGTGCAGGCTTCCCAGCGCCGCCGAACCACAGCGCGCATGGGTCCCAGCAGGGGGCGCGGGGGATGGAGGACCTGGAGGTCCGATCGTGTCGTGTTCGCACGGGGCGGATCGCCCGCGCCCACCAATGGCCACCGCGGCCCTGGGGCCGACCGCCGCGCGCCGCCATTGGGCGGGGCGGCGGCAGCGGCGCAAGGCGTGCCGTCTCAAGGAAGGAAGGGGCAGTCTGGGGGGAGGCAGGGAGGACCTCTGGCGCTCTCACACGGCTGCTTTTTCTTTCGTTCAACCCCCCGCCCACCTCTAGGCCCGCAGCCAGGGATGGGTGGGCAGGATTGCTGGATAGGTTTCGGGCACTGCGTAGCACACGCGCAAGAGGAGGAGGAGGAGAAGGAGGGATCGAGGGCGATCCTGGAGGAGGGGGAAGAGGAGGGGGAGGAGGAGGAGGAGGAGGAGGAGGAGGAGGAGGAGGAGGAGGAGGAGGCTCGAGGAGGAGGAGGAGGAGGAGACGGAGGAGGAGGAGGGAGGAGGAGGAGGGAGGAGGAGGAGGAGGAGGAGGAGGGGAGGAACCTCGAGGACCGAGAGCTGCACGCCTGGCCCTGGTGGCCACCTGCCTTGTAAGAGCTGGGCTGGCGCCTCTCTGCAGATCAGAGGGAGGACGACCGGAAGGTTCCAAATGGGGTTTTGGGGGAGGGTTTTTTCCAGGAGGGGTCCCCCAGGGGCTTCGCACCCCCTATTTTGACAAGGTTCCGAGGCCCCTGTGGGGCTCTCTTGGAACCCCCCTCCGCAAACCCCGTTTGGAACCCTCTGGGACGAGAAGGTGCAGGAGGGGGAGCAAGTATGGGAAGTTCTCCTATGCCTATGCGTGTGTGTATACACAAAAGAATAACTCAGCCTTTGGAACAGACTCGAGGCTCAGCCCGCTGGAAGCAGATCGTGAATAATCCCCTCACGGTGCTCACGACGAGCCCTGAAAAGGGCAACTGGCACGGTCTGCCTGATCCCCTTGGCCAGGACTGGCCGGGTAAACCACATGCGCTACAGAACCTGCTGCCACGGCTACAATGATATACTGGGGAAGGAGGGCGGAGCAGGGGCGTGCCTCTTCGAAACGCCCGTCGGCGTATGCCGCGTTGCCCTCCTGGGGCGCAGCCGCCGACGCCGCCGACGTCGGTGACGTCGTCATCGTCGTCGTCGACGTAGCCATCGTCGTCGCCGCCACCGTCGTCGGTGTCGTTATCGTCATGGCCGTCGTGGTCGTCGTCACAACTACCGTGGTCTTGGTCGTGGTCGCGATCGCCGTGGGCATGCACGCAGACGCCGCCGCTGTCTCCGCAAGAGGCCGCGATGCAACCATAGGAGGCGGCGTGGGAGGGGGAGGGGCCACACGGGGGGAGATAGGGAAGGAGAAAGAGAGGGGGGCATGATGAGAGAGAGAGGGTTTAGAGACAGAGAGGGGGAGACACAGCCCACAGTGCTCCATGGAAGGCGACACCGACCTAGGGGTCGATCGTCCGCGCAAGGTCAACCTTCTATAACACGCGCCACGCTACGCCCGCCCGGCGGGTTACCAAACGGGCGAACCAGGAAAGGCCAAAGCAAAGCGTTCACTGTGAGAGAATCCAGGCCCCCGTTCGGGGCGTTGGGCGCAAGTTGCGAGTTCCAGGGGGGGGGCACTTCAATTAAGCAAGTACAGGGATCAACAAGAATTGTATCAGAAAGCGAGGGCCCCGAGTTGTGATGTCTTGCAACCTATGCGGTGCAATTCCGGTGGTGCAGGCGGTGTGGTGCGATCCAGACGGCAAAATCAAACGGGTGCAACGTAATGCGAAGCAGTGTAAAGCAATGCAAACCAGTGCAAACACATTCGAGGAGACGCAACGCAATGCAACGCCAGGTGAAGCAGTGCAGTGCGATGCAGGCAAAGGCAGAGCGAGGCAGTGCAGGGCCACGCAAAAAGCGATGCAGAGCAGTGCAGAGCAGATCAAGGCAGTGCGCAATGGAAGGCGAGCTACAAGAGAGAGCGCGCCCGTGGCGCTCTCACACTAAGGGTGGGGGGGGAGTCCCACCTCACCCCAGGCCCCTCTCCCTCCTTGTCTGTCCACCCCTACAGGGCAGGTTTTAATACATAGGATTTTTCAATATATGAGTTTAAATACATGATTAGTTTATCAATAAAGTCATGCATGAACTCATCGTAGTTGTTACTTCTGAATCCCTGCATTTTTAATACATGATCCGCACGCGGAGCATGTGTTAAAAACGACACTGTACCCTCCTCCCCTCCCTTTCGCGCCCCGGAAGCGACCCCCCCCCTGGAACCTCCCCTTCCGGAAGCCCCCTCCCCCTTTCGCGGTCTGGAAGCTACCCCCCTCCCCTGCCAGAAGCCCCCGGGGTAGGGGGCTTGAAGCCCCCCCCCTTGGCCAAAGGAAGGAGCGCCGAAGACCAAAAGAGCGCCGAAAACAAAACCAATGAGCCATCGAAAACTGAAAAGGTGCGAACACTAGAAGAGCGCCGAAAAGCAAGGGGGCGCCGAAAACCGAAACCGAAAACGGCGCCGAAAACCAAAGATGCGCCGAAAACGAAGAAGGAGCACCGAAATCCAAGAGAGCGCCGAAAACCAAGTGGCGCCGAAAAACACAAGCGCGCCGACAACAAAAAAGGGTTCGAAAACCAAACGGCGCCGAACACCTAAGGAACGCACCCCCCCCCCCCCAAAAAAAGGCACCGAAAAAGAAAAGGCTGCGAACACCAGCGGGGCGCCGAAAACCAAATAGACGCCGAAAACCGAAAGAGCGCCGAAAACCAGAAAGTATCGAAACACCACAGGGCGCAAAAAAACAAAGGAGCGCACAAAACCAAAGGAGCGCCGAAAAGAAAAGGGGCGCTGAAAACCAAACGGCGCCGAACACCTACCGAACGCTGCGAAGTAAAAAGGCACCGAAAACAACAAAAGGCTCCGAAGACCAGCCGGGCGCCGAACACCAAAGAGACGCCGAAAACCAAAAAAGCGCCGAGCAACCAGAGCATCGCCGAAGACGAAGACCAGAAGGGCGCCGAAAACCAAAAAGTACCGAAACCCAACAAGGCGCCAAAACCAAACGGTCGCCAAACATGAAAATGACGCCGGAAACCAATGCCAAAAAGGCAATAGAGAGCCGACAACCCAAGGGTCGCCAAACACCGAAAGGGCACCGAAAACCACAACACTGTCGAAAACCAAAGGAGCGCCGAAAACCAAAATGGCACTGAAGACCAAAACGGCGCCGAAAAGCCAAAGGAGCGCCGGACCGCCGAACTCTACAAAGGCGCCGAGAACAAAAAGAGCGCCGAAAACAGAAAGGGCGCCGAAAACCAAAGGAGCGCCGAAAACTAAGAGGGCGCAGAAAGCCAAAAGAAACACGAAATCCAACAAAACGCCGAACGCAAAAAGGTGCACCGAAAGCCAAAGATGCGCTGGAAACCAAGAGGGCGCCGAAAACCAAAACAAACGCTGAAAACCCAAGGGGCGCCAAAAACCAACGATGCGCCGACAAAAACCAGAAGGGCACCGAATAACCAAAGCGGCGCCGATAACCAAAAGAGCGCCGAAAGCGAAAGGAGGCCGAAAACAACATAAGCTTCGAAGACGGACAGGGCGCCGAAAATAAAACGGGCGCCGAAAACCAAATGGGCGCTAAAAACCGCAGGAACACCGAAAACCAAAGGTGCGCCCAAAAATAAAGAGGCACCGAAAACAAAATATGCGCCAAGAACAAATAATGCGCCGAAAGCCAAGAGGGCGCCGAAGAATCAAAGACGCGCCGATGTCCAAAAGGGCGTCAAAAACCGAAGGGCGTCAAAAACGAAAGGCGCGCAGATAGCCGACGGGCACCCAAAACCAAAGGGGCGCCGAAAACCAAAAAGCCCCGAATATCAAACCAGCGCCGAAAACAAAAGGTGCGCCGAAAACCAAAAGAGCGCCGAAAACCAAGAGGGCGCCGAAAACCAACGGAACGCCAGAACGGCGCCGAAAACCACGACGTGTGCGCAGAAAACCAAAAAGGGCGTCGAAAACCAAAGGAGTGCCGAAAACCACATGAGCGCCGCAAAACCAAAGGAGCGCCGAAAACAAAGGAGGCGCCAAAGGCCCCAAACGCGTCGAAAACCAAAGAGGCGCCCAAAAGCAAAGAGACTTTGAAAACCAAAAGCACGCCGCAAACCAACGGGGCGCCGAAAGCCAAAAAAGAAGAATCGCTTCGAAACCCCAAGAAAAGCCAACAGAAAGAGGGGAAGGGGGAATAGCTTTGGAAGCCCCCCCCTTTAGCCAGGTACCCCCCAGCTGCAACATCCCAACAAAATGAAGGGGGAGGGAACTTCGGCAGCCCAACCTCCGCTTTGAAAGGGGAGCTCCGGCTGACCCTGGGCCCCGAGCCGAAAAGGGGGGAGGCAGGGGCTAGCTTCCAAGCCCACCCCCTTGAGCTAGGCCTCCCCCGGCTAAACACTGCCCACAAAAGGAGGGGGGGGGGTAGCTTTGGAGGACCCCCCCTGTTCCAAGGGAGGGGGGGGGTAGCTTGAAGCTGGGGCTCCCCTCGTGTTATGAAAAGCGTCACGAGAACACCCTCTCAACGCAATGCAAAGCGATGCACAAGAATGCAAAACAACGCAACGCGATTGCAATGCAATGCAAAAGAATGCAATGCAATACGGGTGGCGGCGACGACGACGACAAGAACGCGGCGGACCCGGCAATGGAGCCCAGACGACAGGTGGCGACACGTCGGCGACGGCAACCACAAGGAGGCGGACCCGACGAGCAGGCCCAAACGACGGGCGACCACGTGGCCGCCAAACCCACGCGCAGGCCCAAACGACCAGCAACGACGAGACGGCAACGGGGCGGCGACGGCGACCGTACTCGCCATCGCTCGGACGTCCATTCCCTGTGTTTTTTTCGGATTCGTGCGTGGCTTTTTCGCCAAATGATCAAGGATGCTCCTCGATGGTCCTCGCCGAAGGAAAAATGCACACGTCCGAGCGATGCCAAGCAACTCCTTTGAAAAAGGCTGCCGCGCTGGCCCAGACGACGGGCGGAAACGAGGCGGCGACAAGGCGGCGACGTGGCCGCGACGTGGCGGCGACGGGGGCCACCTAGCCGCCAGACTGGCGGCAGGCTCAGTTCCTCAAACCATAAGCAAGGAACCCTACGTGCGAGCACTGTGTGGGGAATGTTCTAGAGCAAAGAAGTCAACAAACAACATATTAGGATTGCTTGCGTTTCGTTGCTCGCGTGTCCTGTAGCGCATGCGTGTATATCCGAAACCTCCGATGCCCGCTCATCGTGCCGCTTGCGGGTGTACAAGTATATGTGACCAGAGTGGGGGATCCGAACGGTCATTCACTGTCCCTGGGCGCGTGGCTGCAGTTAAATTCTGCGGAGCGGATTTTTGTTGTTTACTGGTTGCTGTCATTTGTTGTCGTCCCCCCCCCCGCAACTCACCCGCAACACACAAGCGACCCAGCCTGCGACCCACCCTTGGCGGTACGCACAACGGGGTAGGGGAAAGGGAAGGCTTCTTATAAGGAGGCCACGCATTCTAAGAAGCAGGGGTGCCTCCCTCCCCCTACCCCCCTCTGCGCGTAGCCGGCACCCGCGACCCACCCGGGACCCACCCGCGACCCACCCCGCGACCCACCCGCGATCCAACCGAGACCCACCCCACGACCCGCCCGCGACCCACCAACGACCCACCCGCGACCAAACCGCGACCACCCAGGACCTGGCCCGCGACCCAACCGCGACCTGGCCCGCGACCCACCCGCGACCTGGCCCGCGACCCACCCGCGACCCACCAAAAATCGGCGCCTGCGGCGGGTTCGTTGTATAGTGTGTAAAACTCTGGCGCCTGCGGCGGGCTTCTTCACAGCCTCGCAAAATGCCGACGTCGCCGTACCCCCCCCCACTCTTATCGGCAACTGCGGGGTGCTACGTGTCATGTGTGCGCCCATCACCTGCCACATGTACTTGGCTCGACCGTGCCGTGGGAGGAGGCAGGGGAGCCGGCCAGGACAGGAGGAGGAAACGAGAAGGGAAGGGGGCGAGAGGAAAGGAGGATGAGCGAGGGCGAAGAAGGTCTAATGGGAGAGGGGGGGACAGGAACAACCGTTTCGGCAAGCGGGCCACGACGGGCGGGTCGGGCGGGCGAGCCCTCACAGGTGGGCCTGGCGGGCGGAGCCCGATGGGTGGGTCGGGCGGGCCGGGCATCAAGGCGGGCGGGCGGGCTTCCAAGCACGTGAACGGGCAGAGCCTCACAGGCGGGTCGGGCGGGATATTGCAGCGGGCGGGCTGGCTTCCAGGCAGGCGAACGGGCGGACCCTCACCGGCGGGTCGGGCGGGCAGACCCTCGCAGGCGGGTCGGGTGGGCGGGCCCTGACCAGCGGGTCGGGCGGGCAGGGCATCGAAGTGAATTGCGCAAATTGCGGAAAGGAGCACGACGCCCAAGGAAATGGCAAAGAAGTCTCATGCGAGAGTGCGACGCCTGGGCGTCGAAAGCGCAGTGCCTGAGTAAATGGCACGCAATTCGCAAGCGAGAGCGCGAGTCCTGCGAACATTGGGGGGTGTTACCGGGCGAGAGCACGATATTAAAATCATGCGCGACGGAGTATCAGGCGGAAGCCGTCCAATTTCCTTTTCTAGGGAGCAAGAACTGCTGATGCCCCCTCCGTTGCCCATTGAAGTGTTCAATTGAGGTGCCTCTCCCGGAGCTCGGACCCAGTTTTTTACAAGGGAACGTCTCGGGCCTTGGACTGGGCCCTGCCCCACGAACTGCAGTTACAACGGCTCTCGACTAGGACCTCGCCACAAATAATTCGAAATCACGCACTCGCGCAGGACCTCCTGGAAATCGGTCCAAGTACCGCGCTCTCGCATGGGACTTCCTGGCAATTCATTGGGACGGGACGCCCTCGACACTCAGGAATCATGCTCTCGCTCTGGACTTCCTCCCGATTCACTCAGGAATCGGACCATCGCTCAAGAACTCCTCGCGACTCTTGCAGGACTGACGCTTCAATGACGCGCCCGCTCACCCCGACAGATTGGGGTTGCCCGCCCGATCAACCCGTCGGGGTCTCCCCGCGCGACTCGCCTATCTAGTTCTGCCGCTTCTATTCCTACTCCCCAGCCCCATCGTGCTAATCTCTCTCGTCCCCTCCTCCTCCTCGTCCCTTCCCTCCTCCCTCCCTTCCCTTGTGCTGCATCCTTCCTCCTCCTCCTCCTCCTCCTTGTTCCTTCCCTCCTCCCTCCCTCCCTTCCCTTGTGCTCGGGGCTGCGCTAACTGCACATGGCAGGTGAGGAAGATCCTAACGGGGGGGGTACGATCGAAGACGAAGCGAGCAGGTATCGAGGGCTTGGCATATACATGTGGAAGGACACGTGGGCAGATCAGAGCAGCCAGGAGTCTCGCGGCTGCCTGGAGGCCTGCGAAGTATGCAACCGTCGCCACTCTCGTAGGCTCCATGGGGGGCTCCGGCGGAGTGGGGGTACGTACGCAGACCCAGCCTGGACCTCGCTGCTCCCCTAGAGGGGGCTGCAGCGTGGGCAGATGTATCGCCACGCTCGTGGGCTCCTCCCGGGAGGCCCCGCGGGGTGTGGAGGAGCATGCAGACCCCGCCGAGCCTGCGCAGCTCCGTGGGGGGCCACAAGAGTGCGCAGATAGGTCGCCGCGCTCCTGGGGCTCCTGGGAGGCGCGGCTGCGCGGGGGGGAGCGCGCAGACCCGGCCGAGACCTCGCGGCTCCCTGCGGGGCTGCGGAGCGCGCAGCGCCACCTCCGTGGCTCCCGGGAGGCCCGGCGGAAGGGGGCGGACCGGGCGAGGGGCCGCGACCCTAGTGGGGCGTCCAGGTACGGCCTCGGCGCTCGGGCACAGATCACTCCCCTTCCCCTTCCTCCTCCTCCTCCTCCTCCTCCTCCTTCTCCTCCTCCTCCTCCTCCTCCTCCTCCTCCTCCTCCTGCCCCCTCTTGCCTCCTCCCTGTCCCTCCCCCTCCAGCTCCCCATGGGGAGGCCGCTGTGTACTGCCAGTGTCGCTCCCTCTCATCCCCCAGCGGCCCGCGTGCGCGCCCTCGCCTTCCGAGTAGATGCGGTCGGAAGATCCCGCCGCATCGCCGATGCATCGGCGACGCACTGGCGACGTCGGCGAGGCATCCGCGACGTCGGCGTGGAGAGAAGTGGGCCCCGCGTGGAGCCGCGTTGGCGCTGCATCGCCGATGCATCGGCGATGCGGCACGATCCTCCGACCCCATCTGCTCCGGCACCATCTAGTAGGCCTAGCGAGTCTGCGTAGGTGTTGGGGCCACGTGGGCCTCCGGGAGGGGGGGGGGACCCTAGAGGTCTTCTGGGCGGCGGGCCCGCCGAGGCCAGCATCATGGATTTTTGGGGATTGGTTTGGAGGATGTCTGCGCCTTTGGGGCCTTCCGACGGCCCAAGACGGCCCAAGATTACCAGCCTGGAACATATCCCTATCCATATGTTCGGCATCGCCTCATCACGGTGCCAATCTTAGGGAGTCCTTATTTTTGGAGGGCGAATCCCTAAGATTATCATCGCCTTTTGGCGTGTCAGTCTTACGGATAGGGATACGTTCGAGGCTGGTAACAAGAGGCCCCCGAGATATCGCCCCAGCTTGGTAGTCCCCAAACGTGACAACACCTGGCGGTGAGTCTCGGGCGATTTGGTGTCACCACCTGGTTTGGGGACTCGTGCGGTTTTCCGAGGATGTCCCGGACACTGGTGGGTCCAGGAGTCACAAAACCCGGTGGTGACCCCGCGTCCCCAAACCCAGCGGTGACCTTTTTGGGGATTCCAGGTCGCCACCTGGTATCTCACCACCCGGTTTGGGGGTTCCCAAATGGCCCCGGGACGGCCCAGGAGGCCTCCCCCGCGGCCCCGGGAGGGGCCCGGGACGGCCCACGAGGCCTCCAAGGCGCGGAGGATGGCCTCCTTAAGGCGGCCCCGAAGGCTCCCAGGAGACCCGAAGAGTGCCCCAAGAGGCTTCCAAGAGGCGTCCTCCTCCTTCCTCTCCTCCTCCGCCTCCTCATAGTCCTCCTCCTCCTCCTCCTCCTCCACTCTTTGATTATTACCCTCCATATCCTCTTCCTCACGGGTTCCCCCAACAATTTCAACGACCGCGGTGGGGACACATGGTCCGATAGCTCCAGCCCAGCTTGCGGCCGCATAGGCGTGTCCGAGAAGGCAGGGGGCGGCGGTGATTCGCCGTAGGCGTCGTCGATAGCAAGAAGCACAAAACGATGTACTATGTATACAAAATCGCCACTTGCACATTTCTTTGCAGTCATAAGTGTACCAAATAATTGTCTCCCCCCCAAAAGAACTGATCGTCTATACAAAAAAAAAAACATGAATTATGTTGCATGGCTGTCGTTTGTTTCCGTTCCCGGCCCGTTTCTTATGCAGAGAAGCCCACGTCGACCCTCCGCCGCGTGGCCCTGAAAGACGAAGGCGCGCAGCGGCGGCCATCATACCCCACGCCCATCTCTAGTGATGCTCGCTCGCAGCACCACGGGGGACCTGCAAATGCAGATCAAGCCTCGGGCAGATAAGAAAGCACAAGGCGCACCGCTTCCGAATCGAGAGACGGCCTGAAAAGCAAAGGGGCAAGCTGGCTCCAGCTTCCCGAGGGCGGGGGCCTGGGCCTCGGATGCACGACCCAGGAGCCACCCAGGACCACCCCCCAGCCTCCTGCTCCTCCTTCCCCTGCTCTTTCTTCCCCCTCCTTCTTCCCCCTCCTCCTCCCCCTCCCCCTCCTCCTCCCCCTCCCCCTCCCCCCCCTCCTCCTCCTCCTCCTCCTCCTCCTCCTCCTCCTCCTCCTCCTCCTCCTCCTCCTCCTCCTCCTCATATCATTCAGGGCTCGCCCTGCAGGCCTCGCCTTCTTCCCCCAGACCCCCGACGACACGATGACCTCACAGCCTCGGCCCGTTCCCCGGGACATCTCCACGGCCCCGAGGCCCCGCGAGGGCCGCCAGGGGAAGGGAACGGGGGGGAACCAACCAGCCGTCGTGACTCCTTCTTTGAGGGGGCCAAGCAAGGACGCACAAATAACAAGACACAACTAAAAGGACTCCCCAATATTCTCCCATCTTTTCTGGGTCTGCGCCTCCCCGCCCACTTCCCACATGTTCCCATATCTTCTGGGGGATCGACGATTCATTGTTTGGACGCCCGAATGATCCGGGGTAACTCGGGTCCGGGGTAACTCGGGTTAGGAATCCCGAAAAACGAACCCGAGTTAGCCCTGACCCGAGTTACCCCTGATGATTTTGGGGCTCTGGACGCCCGAATGATCCGGGGTAACTCGGGTCCGGGGCAACTCGGGTTCGGAATCCCGAAAAACGAACCCGAGTTAGCCCGGACCCGAGTTACCCCGGATGATTCGGGGCTCAGAGTTGTGTCTCTGCGTTTCTCCCCCTCCCGATCTTCCCATGGCTCGCTCGGCTCCGGGGCCTGGGCGCCCCCGGGCGCCGGCCGCCCGCGGAGGAGCGAGCCCGCCGCCCGCCCGCAGGGGCCGGAGGTAGGCCCGCAGAGGGGCGGCGCCGCCGCGGAGCTCCCTCGGGGCCTGCGGGCCGCAGCCCCCGACACTCGCCATCGCTCGGACGTCCATTCCCTGTGTTTTTTTCGGTCTCGTGCGTGGTTTTTGCCGCCAAATGATCAAGGATGCCAAAAAGCTGTTTTTGTTCGGCGTCGTGCGTGGTTTTTGCGATGCCAGGCGACACAGACTGAGGGGGAAACGGCTGCACGGCAGCCACGGCGACGACCAGCGCCGACGACGACGGCCAGCGCCGACGACGACGACCACGGCGGCAAGGACGACAGCGACGACGACGACGGCGACGTCAGCGACAACGGCGACGACGACGACGACGACGACGACGACGACGACGACGACGACGACGACGAGTCGGCTACCTCTGGGCCTGGTCTGCGCGGCGGGCCCCTCCCCATGCGGCGGCCCACGCGCGCTCCAGGGTTCCTGCCGCAGCTCCCGGGACCTGTCCACCTCGGGGCGGAGCCGTCGTCGTCGTCGTCGTCGTCGTCGTCGTCGTCGTCGTCGTCGTCGTCGTCGTCGTCGTCGTCGTCGTCGTCGTCATCGTCGTCGTCGTCGTCATCGTCGTCGTCGTCGACGTCATCGTCGTCGTCGTCGTGGCTGTCGCCGTCGATGCCGCCGTCGTCGCTGTCGTCCCTGCAGACGTGGTCGTGGTCGTCGTCGTCGATACCGACCTTGATGTCGTCGTCGTGGTCGTCGTCGTCGTCGTCGTCGCTGCCGTCATCGTCATCGCTATCGTCCTTGCAGTCGTCGTCGTTGTTATCGTCAACGTCGTCGTCGTCGTGGTCGTTGTCGTCGTCATCGTCGTCGTCACTGTCGTCCTTGCAGTCATCGTCGTCTTATTCGTCGTGGTCGTCGTCGTGGTCGTGGTTCTCGTTGCGGTCCTTGTCGTCTCAGTCGCTGTCGTGGCTGTCGCGCTTGCACTTGTAGTCGTCGTCATCGTCGCTGTCGTCGTGGTCGTCGTCGTCGTCGCTGTCATCTCCGTCGTCGTCGTCACTGTCGTCCCTGCAATCGTCGTCCTCGTCGTCGTCGTCGCCGTCGCCGTTTCTGTCGTCGCTGTCGTCGTCGTCGCTGTCGGTGTCGTCGTCATGCTCGCTGTCGTGCTTGCAATCGTCGTCGTCGTCGTCGTCGTCGTCGTCGTCCGTGTCCCCGTCCATCCCACGAGCCCTCTGGGCGTAGGTGGTCTAACGATATTCCTTCTTTCCTCTTCGAAAAACCCCTCTTCCCCTTCGGGGAGGGGCTGATCACTGTTCCCTATGAATAAGCACCCCCACCCCCAGGCGACTGGGAGCCAACCAGGAACAACGCGGGCACCCCCCCACCATCCCTTGTAAAAAACAATACAAAACACACTCTGCCTCCAAATTCGGAGCATGCGCAGCCAACTCGATGCGGCCTCACTCCACCATCCTTGTGAAAAAAATACAATACACTGGGCGGCGGCGGCGGCTGCGGCGGCTCCGGCGGCGGCGGCGGCTGCGGCGGCGGCGGGCGGCGGCGGCGACGGCGGCGGCGGCGGCGGCGGCGGTCGGCGGCGGCGGCGGCGGCGGCGCGGCCCGGCGGCGGCGGCGGCCGCGGCGGCGGCGGCGGCGGCGGACGCGGCGGCGGCGGCGGCGGCGGATAGGCCCCCAGTAGCTGCCCATCCAAAGACGATTGCTGAATATGCTGGGGCTCGGGCCAGAACCGGGTGCTACGTATGTGTTGGGAGGGCGGGTGGGGGTGAGCGAGACGGCATGCGGGCGGGGAAGGAGTCCTAACCCCACCCCCTACCCTCGCGGGTCGTTGGATGTTTTTTTTCTCGGCCCCTGGGGGGGCCAATGTTTTACACCACTCACGAGGATCGTGGTCCCCGCTGGGGGGGCCTCGATCGGGAGGTTCCCTCCTTTTATCGATCGCCTCGAAGATGCCCCAAGAGGCGCCCCAGGGCTCCCAAGAAAACCCCAAGAGCGCCCCAAGAGGGTTCCAAGAGGGCCCCAAGAGGGCCCCAAGAGGCACCCGAGAGGCCCCCAATAGGCCCCCGGACGGCCCCAGAGAGCGCGGGATGACCTCCAAGATGGCTCAGATGGCCCAAGCTGGCTAAAGATGGCTCCCGAGATGCTACAAACGGGCCCAAGACCGCTTCAAAAACGCCAAAGGGCGCTCCAAGGGAGCCCGAAGAATCGGGTTGCCGGCTCCGATGGGGGGGGCTGAGTTGGGGACCCCCCATCCTGTAACCGATGGCCTCCAAGATGATCCCAAGAAGCCTTCCAGGGTTAGCAAGAGGGTTACAAGAGGGCCCCCAAAACTCCCATAGAGCACCAGCAACAGCGGCAGCCTAGTCCTCGTCCTCATCCGCGTCCTAGTTCTCCTATTCCTTCTCGTCCTCATCCTCCTCCTGCTCCTCCGCCTCTTCCCCTCGCCCCCACGCGGCCCCCAGGAATGGCCCGAAAAAACCCTCCGAGGCCACCCCCATACCGGTTGCTAGCACTGTTTCCCTAGATGTGTCGATTCGTCCCCTTTTCCCGCCACCTCTCATTGGGAGGGCTTCTCAATGGCTTGGTGGGGACAGGCGAAGCGTGAAGAATGTAGTCTTCGTCGCTGTCGTCCTTGGTGCCGTCGGCGACGTCAGCGCGTCGTCGAGGTAGTCGCTGTCGTGTTTGCAATCGTCGTCGGCGTCGTCGTCGTCGTTGTCGTCCTTGCAGTCGTCGTTGCCGCCGTCGTTTTTGGAGTCGTCGTTGTGGCCGTCGTCGCCGTGATTTTCATTGTCGTCGTCGTTGTCCTTTCAGTCGTCGGCATCACCGTCGTGATCATCGCTGTCGTGTTTGCAATCGTCGTTTTCGTCGTCGTCGTTGCTGTCGACGTTGCAGTCGTCGTCGTCGTCGTCGTCGTCGCTGTCGTCGCTGCACTCGTTATATTCGTCGCGGTCGTCGCCGCAGTCGCCCCTGCAATCGTCGGTGTCGTCGTCGCTGCCGTCGTCGTCGTTGCAGTCGTCGTCGTCATCGTCGTCGTTGTCGTCGTCGTCGGTGTCGTCGTCGGTGTCGTCGTCGTCGCGCGGTCGTCATTGCAATCGTCGTGGTCGTTGTCGTCGCCTTTCGTCGTCGTTAGCGTCGTCGTCGTCGGATCTCGCGTCGGATCTCGCGTCGATGCCCGAAGCCCTCCGATAAGAAAAACTCGGGCACCGACGCGAAGTCCGCGCGGGCACCAACCTCCGGTGAGGAGACCCCGACGAACACGCGTCGAAAGGACCCCCCCCCAAGAGAAAAGCCGGGAGTGGCACGGCGCTCGCACGGCCGCAGTCCCGCCGCCGGACAGCCCTTCCGAAGCAAGAGAGAAACCCGAAGACAGCAGCGTCGCGGAGAAGGGCAGCGGCACAGCGGCGGCGAAGCGTCGAGGCAGCTGGAGGAAAGGACAAGGAGCGGGGATGGAAACGGGGGCGGTTGGAGGGGAGGGGAAATGGGGGTGGCACAGGAGCAAAGCCGCGCGGTCTTGGACAGCGCCCAACTCAATAATTCGCACTCGCAAGGCGCAGCTTGCCGCGCGGCGCTGAATGCCGCGCCGCGAGCGAACTGAGCAGAAGGGCGGGGGCGAGGCGCTTCGCAGCTTGCCGTGACGCGGCTGAGCGAAACAAAGACTGCGGCGCTACGCTGCGCCGCGCAAGCGGGCGACCGCGGTGAGTGAAAGCTGGCCGCGTCGGGCGAAGGGAGAGGCAATGAACCCCCCCGAGCGCGACAAACAAGGGCGTTGTCGCTGTAATGGACCCGCCGCTGACACGCACGCGCCCGTGGAAAAACGACAGGCCCGCGCGTCGAAACAAAGATACCGCCACGCAGCGCCGCGCGATTGCAAAGCAAAAAACACGCACGCGCGTTAACGCGAAACCGCCGCCACGTAGCGCAGCGCAACTGCGAAGCAGAACAGACGCGCGTCGCAACGAGAATACTGCCGCCCTGCGCAACACGATTGCGAAGCGGACGTGGGGATCTGTCGAGACGACGATGCCGCCGCAGCGCAGAGTGACTGCGAGGCCGAAGGGCAAGAGTGACAAATATGCGACGCTCCACTGTGAAACGCGCTGAACACGCAACCCGCGAGGATACGAGGGCGCCGTGCGCGAGCATTAGTAAGCCGAAGGTGCCCTGACCAAGGCAAATCGCGCGCCAATGCTTCGTTGCGGACGCGTTTCTGAAGCCCGCGGGCCCCTTGCCCGGCAATAGTCCCAGCCAGATCCTGGCTGCCGCCCGGCAACATCCCAGCTGAATCCCCGCCGCGGCCCCGCCGCGCACCCCCCGAGAAAAACGCCACCCCTCTTACAACAGAAAAAACCACCGCCGACAAAATCTCAGCCGAATCCCCACCGCGGCCCCGCCGCGGCCCCGCCGCCGCCAAGCCGCATGCCAGCCGGGGGCCTTCTCCCCGAGGGCCCCCACATGGCCTCATAGGACCTCGCAAGAATGGGGGGTGCGATGGGACATAGGAGGAGCGCGATGTAGGAGCATAGCTGCAGGAAGAGGCCGCGATGTAGGAGCATAGCGATGGGGGAGGGAGGACCGCCCGGAGCGAAGGGCAGGAGGAATGGCAAGGAAGGCGCGAAGGGAAGGCGGGAAGGCGACGAGGAAATGAAAGAGGTTGAGAGGCGGAAGGAGGACGGATGAGGCGACAGGGAAGACAAAAAAAACAGGAAGAGGAAAAAAGGAGGGACCGCCGATGAGGATTGAGAAAAAAAATAACGAGGACAAGGGCAGGGGGGAAAAGATAAGGGATTGGGCCTGGGAGGACATACCAGTGACGCGAAGAAGAAGAGGGGCCTGTTGGCGACAACGAGTACGAGAGTGATGGTGGAAGCAAATGATGACATACTTGAATGGACGTTTTTGGCTCGATGTGGACCTCCGCAACAGTCGGATACAACTTTATTGGACCGCCGCGTGTTCATCACGGCAAATGGCAGCGTCGGCGCCAGGGCCGGCGCGCGCGAAACGCACTGGAGAAACTTCGACAACTGCGAATGACGAAGCGCGCGCGAACGGCCCCGAAGCAGACGCAAATGTAACGACTCGGCGCCGTTCGCTACGACGACATCGCTGGTTGCGCCAGCCTGACACAAGCACGCGCGAGAGACTGCCGCGCCATAGTCACGCTAACCGAGCATTCCAAACAGCCAGCCGCAAGGAAACAAAAACACTCGCAAACGTGTACGAGACTACAAATGGGGTCAGCTGGACGTCGGCTTTGTTTCTGTTCGAATCACACTTTTGGGGGTCACTTTTCGCCTGGGCCTCCTCAGCCTCCGGTCGACGTGAAGCGTCTTTTGATGTGGATGGGGGCGCTCAGTGGGGGGAGAGAAAAGGTGCAGCGGTCGGCCCTGAAGGCCGCCTCGTGGGCCCTAAGGAGCCTCTTGGGGGGGCCCCACTGGGCCCGGGGACCCCTCCGAAGGTCCCTCCCGGCCCGCTTTCGGAGCGGAGCCAGCCACTGCGACGAGAAATTCCCGGCAGGCCCAACACATGAGAAACGCGCAGACGAGAAAGCCCTGGCTGTTTTCCCCGAGCCCCGACCCCTTGCCGTGGCCCCCAGTGCTGGAATGCCGGGCAGGGGTTCCGTCACGATACGGATGCAAGGGCCTTGGAAGGCCACGCCGACGCTCTGCGGGCGAGGCGCGGCCAGCGAAGGCGGCCAAGGACGGGCCGAAGCCGAAGGGGAGGGACGCAAGGGTAACCTCCTCCTTCTCCTCCTCCTCCTCCTCATCATCCTTTTCCTCATCCTCATCCTCCTCCTCCTCCTCCTCCTCCTCCTCCTCCTCCTCACTCCTCGAATGAAAGAACTGCTCACAACGTCGTTTATCCTTATTTTGGGGCTTGAAGACGCAATCCAAAACCGACAACGGACGCCGTTGCGCAAGCGATTCTGCGTGTGAAATACGTCACGCCCGTTGCGACGCCGACAGCAGGTCCGGTTCAAAATGGGAGAGAACTGCTGTTGGTCTCCGTGCCCACCTCGTAAGAAACCCACATAAGACGTGCGCGCCCGCCACGTGCATGAACACGGCCCCCGATCCGCAATACGGGCCTCGTGATACGAACGCTCGCGCAGGGAACACTTTCGAAACCATCGTGGGCCCATGTACGCATGAGTCCTCCTAAGGAAAACCAAGCGGTATCCATACCGCTAACCCAGACCTCTCCCAGGGTGCGTTCTGACTAGAAATGTCGACGCGGACCCAGCGGTGGCGACGAGGGCCTCCAAGGAGGCCCAACAAAAAGGCGAGAACGAATGACGGGTAGCGCTATGGGTACCGTTTCCTCCTCTGACTTCTTTCGCTCCTGGCTTCGGTCGCAAGGGGCCGTAGCAACAGTCTGCCCCTGCGCGGAGGCGCGAGCGAGGAAGGAACCTGCGCGGGGAGGAGGGCCGCGAACGGCGCGCGCGCGCGGCGGCGAACGACCAGACAGACCGCCCCTGTCTGCCCGCGCCTCCGGGCAGCAGGAGACCTTGGAGGGGCCCAGCGAAGCACACGTACAAATCCCAGGGTTGCCGATATCTGCCATACTTCCTGGACGTTCGTCTTCCCCTCCACCTTTGGCCTGGTGCTGGTGGTGTGTCCGCGAATCGGTCGGCTCTGCCTGTGAGCGGCAACGGTCGGGGGGACCGGCTCCGGGGGGGAGCATCTACCTGGCATCGGCGATGCATCGCCGATAGATCGGCCATAGGCCCCCGATGGCGCATGCTCACGTTCCTCGACAGGGCGGGCCCTCGGGCCCCTTATCGCCGATCGGACGAGCCTGGCCCCCCTGGAGCGCTCTCGGCGAGGCACAGCTGCCGGAGCGCACCCCGCCGGGAGCCGACGAGAAGACCTGACAATCTCAAACATTGATCCCCTCTCCAACTTGACGGCGCCCACAGGGGGGGGATGAAGGCGGCGGGGTGTCCAGGAAGGCAGAGGGACTTCCCGGAAGCCTGCCCGAATTCTGAGGAGCCTTCTTAGAAGCCCCCAAGGCCTTCTGAGAGGGTCCATGCCTTCTCTTGCCGTCGCTCGGAGGTTCACTTCCCGTGTATGTTTCGATGTCGTGCGTGTACTTTTCCAGCATGATCCAAGATGCTCCCCTATGGTCCCCGCCGAGGAACGGAACAATTCACAGGTCCGAGCGATGCCAAATTCTAAGAAGCCAATTTTCCTAGACGGCCGTACCCCTGGCGCCCCCCCCAGAGGGGGCCGCAAAAACTTGCCATGAAGCCGACGGGTCATGAGACAGACGGGTCCTGGAGGCGTTTTGCCGCGTTCGGGCTCCGATGACCGATGGTTCACCCGCGCCGCGCCACCACTCGATATTATCGAGCCTCGACTCCGAGAAAGGCGTCCCTCCCAGCAGGCCTCCCCCCCCCTCCCCGCATCCCCCCCTTCGGACGCCCAAAATGGTGTGGAACCGATACATTCGATGGCCAACAACACATGTTGCCCAAAACCGACAGCGGCCGCTGTTGGGAAGACCAAAAAATGTGCATCAAACGGACAATGCCCGCGGCAACGCCGACGTCGAGTCCCGTGGAAAATGAGGCAGGACCTGCTGTCCGTCTTCGCCACCATACAGTGGAGGCTCGACCACAAGAAACCTTCCACAAGAAACAAAACCCTTAGAACCCAGGACGTCCATCGATGTTAGGTATGAGGACGTCACGCTTTCCGCAGCAAGACCATCGAAACCAAAGAAACCCAAGGCACCCTGGAGGCAAGAGGGGTGTTTCTTGGCATGGGTCTCCACTGTACTTTTCTTTTCGGAGGCGATGAGGGCGAATAGCCCAGCGGCAGACACTGCAGTCAACCCTCCCAGAGCCTCGCTGGAGACACGCACCGTCGGCGCCCCTGGATGCCTGAACTACTCTCCCCTGGGATATTCGCCCCTGTCCACACCCTCGATCCGTACACACGTCGACCGTGCCCGGGGGAAACGCGAGGTACCTGTACCGCGACTCCCCAGACCTCTCCTGGGGTGCGCTCTGGCCAGACTGCCGATGCCAATCCATCCGTGGCGGCGAGGGCCTCCCATGATGAGGCCCCCCACCCCCCCAAAAAAAAAGCAAAACGAGGGAAGCGTAGCGGTACAGTCAAATACCCTAATAAGGACGCGCGGTAAGGACGCAAGACCCTTGGAAGCCGAAGTTGGGATTTCTGGGGCGGCGGACGACGAAAACCCCAAGGACGCAAGAGCAAGGAAGAGCAAGGACGCAAGGGTACCCTGAGCAAAATCGCGCGTCCTTATTTTAGTTTTTGTTGACTGTATACCGCGACTCCCCAGACCTCTCCTGGGGCGCGTGTTGGCCAGACTGCCGATGCCAATCCATCCGTGGCGGCGAGGGCCCCCCATGAGGGCCCCCCCCCAAGGACCCAGCCAGATGCCGGTGTGAGTGCCGCAAGTGTGATGCCTTTTTGTCGGTGGTGATCCCTATGAGGCAACGAACCGTGCTAGGGGTGTGCCGGGGATGAGTGGCGTGGTACACAACGCGAACGAAAACACGAGCCCCCCTGGGTGCCACTTCCCAGGGAGTGCCGGGCCTCGCCCCCGCCGCCCCCATCGAGGCCGCCTCCGAGTCGGAGGGCGGCGCGCCGGGGCGCTCGGCCGCCGAGATGAGGACGCGCTCGGGCGCCGTGGCCTCCCCGAGCGGGCCGCCGCCCGCGGCGCGGGGAGGGGGGGGGCGGAGGGGGGGGGGGGGCGGGGAGGGGGGGGGGGGGGGGGAGGGGGCGGCGGGGAGGGGGAGAGGAGGGGGGGGGAGGGGGGGGGGGGGAGGGGGGGGGGGGGGGAGGGGGGGGGAGGGGGGGGAGGGGGGGAGGCAAGCTAGGTGCGCTCGCGTCATATCTGACGTCCTACCCCTCCCTCCCATCCCTTACCATGGCGCTGATTTTCTCTATCCGCGGACGCGTGTCGTAGCGGACCTGTGGCTCCGCGCGCGCGTGCGTAGTGGGTGGTGGTGCGCGTGCGTGCGTGCGTGCGTGTGTGCGTGGTTGTGGTCGTGGTGGTGGTGGTGGTGGTGGTGGTGGTGGTGGTGGTGGTGGTGGTGGTGGTGGTGGTGGTGGTGGTGCTGGTGCTGCTCGTGCTGGTGGTGGTGCTGGTGGTGGTGGTTGTGTGGTGTGGTGGTGGTGGTGGTGGGTGGTGGTGGTGGTGGTGGTGGTGCGGCGCGGTGGTGGCGGGCGGATGGGCGCGCGAGAAAGAGGCCCGCGCTGGGGCGAGAACGCCATCCTGAACGACGGAGGCCAAACACCGATCCGAAAATGAGGCCCGCGCTGCAGCTGGAGCACGATTCGGAACGATTCAGGAGCAGAAATGAGGCCGGCGCCTCAGCGAGAACATCATTTTGGAAAAAAACGCCGGCGAAAATCCGTTTCCCGGGAATCCTGTGTGTAAAAAAACAATGCGCGGGGGGCGTTCGGCCCGAAAATGACGCCGGCGCCTCAGCGAGAGTCGTTTCCCGGGATTTCCCGGGAATCCTGTGTGTTCAAAAACAATACGCGGAGGGTGCGCGGCCATCACCCAGACGCCATCAGGGGAAGAGGGAGAGTATTTTCATATTGAGTAATTGTGGAGGGCGGGGAGGGCGGCGAAGGGAGGGGAGGGGGGGGGGGGGGGGGCGGGGAGGGGGGGGAGGGTCGGCCCGCCGAGGGGGGCGCAGTCGGTCGTGGCGGTGCGGCGCGCCGCGGCCCTCGAGGCCGAGCCGCACCGCCTGCGAGGGCGGGCCCGTCGCTCTGGACGGGGAGCTGCGGGTGTGATCTGGTCCCCTGGAGGCCAGAGCTTGGCCGCCGCGCTCGGGAGGAGCAGGAAGAGGAGCCGCGGGGGGGGGGGGGGGGATTTCAGGATCGGAAGCCAGTGGAGGCCAGGTCAAGCTCGGGCACTCAGCGGAATCGAATTCACGCCTGAGGGAACTTTCCACCTTTGTGGGGGGGAGCCCACGAGACTAACGCGACAGGATTTCCTTCCGAGCTCTAGCAGGAGGCCTCTCCTTCGCCCTGCACGGGTGACCCAAGTTCTGAGCATTCTGGGTGGCAAACGCTCTGCACTTCTCACGGCACAGGACGCCACGAAGAACCTTCAACATGTGACCAGCTGATTTGTTGATTCTGAGTTTCGGCAGTTGGCCGAAGGGTGGGGGAGGAGGGGGGCTCTGGGTCTGGGCCGGTGCTTCGTCGATCTGCTTCTACGAGTCGCGTGAGCAGACTGGTGGGAGGGGCCCTGACCAATCGCCAACAGCAAAGCACCCGCCAAAAGACGCCAGCATTAGGGGGCCACATGCGAATCCTACCCCTAACGCCCCCACGATTTCTGAGGGGGAGGGTTCGCATGCGGCCCCCTAAATATCTGGTCTATGGCGGGGTGAGGGGGTGGGGGCGGGGCGGGGGACCGCGCCGATCGGCGAAGCAATGAGCCAAGCACTGCGACGCTTGGGATGCAAGGGATGATTGAAGGGGCCCTGGGACACACAAATAAGTCCACGCAAATCAAAAGTTTCCCCACTCTGTTCCCACATTTTCGGGGTTTCTGTCTTCCCCCCCCACTTCCCATATTTTCCCATATTTTCTAGGGGGATCGACGATGAATTGTGTCTGTGTGTGTTTTCCCTCCTGAATGGTGCAGGGGGTCCGCAGAAGAGCCTCGGGGTGCCACCGCGTGGGCCGCGGCGGAAGGCGCTCGGCTCCCGGAGGCCTAGAACCGAGTCGGGCCTGTCCCTCTACAGGGGGAATGCTCAAAAATGACATCACGAAAACCAAAAAATCAGGGCACACATTTGTCAGTGTTTTTGTTCACTATTTGGGGTATTTGTTTGACTGTCTTGGATTATTCCCCGAAGAGCGGCCTGTACGGGGACGGGCCCGACCTAAGCCTAGAATCTCAGGCCCAGGTCGAGATGGGTCGACATTGCGTCCTCTTTCACGCTGCTGCCCTGCGCTGCGTCGAGCACACGCGTGGAGCTGTATGGCTCCGCCGCTCGCCGCGGCCCTCGGGGCGGCCTCCGGGGCCGGCACACGCGCGTGAGTGCGTGAAGGCGCAAGCGAGACAGCTAGAGGCCTCCCGGATGGGGTCCGAGTGCAGTCAACCAGTATAGTAAGGATGCGCGATACAGGGAGGCTGAAAAAACAAGGAGTTCTAAAAACAGGGAATTTTAAATTCTAGGTTGTCGCGTAGAGATCGCAGCCCCGGAGCGAGGCATGAAACCGCAGCATGACCCAAAAAACAAGGGACGCCCTGGAACAGCAGGGGGAAGATCTGGGGGAAAATCTGTCGGGAGATCTGGGGAGTGTCCAATGGAAGATTTGGATGCGCGATAAGGATGCAAGGGCCTTGGACGCCCATTTCGAAGGCCCAAGGATGGACCGAGGAGGCAAGGATGCAAGGGTGCCCTTGGGAAGGTTGCCCACCCTTACTATGCGGGTTGACTGTAGATGGGGTCGGAGGATCGCGCCGCATCGGCGATACCTCGGCGATGCATCGCCGATGCATCGGCGATGCGTCGGCGACATCGGCGACGCATCCGCGACGTCGGCGTGGGGAAAACTGGGCTCCACATCGAGCCGCATCGCCGATGCATCGGCGATGCGGCGCGATCCTCCGACCCCATCTACTCCGACCCCATCTAGGAGGCCTAGAACAACGGCGCCGACACAAGGCCAAGACGGGGCTAGGGCGAGGATAACATCGGGTGAGGACACATCAGGAATCCCTGAAATCCGGGGGATCTGGAGGATCGGGCGCCGCGGCCTTCTCAGAGTGCTCCGGAACGCTCTGAGAGCGTTCTGGAACGCTCTGGAACAGATGTATCCGTGTCCTAGCCCCGTCCGAAAGGGTTCGGGAACGCCCAGAGACACGCGCGCCCGGTGCGCGACACACCGGGACCCAGCGGAGCCCTCCAGCAGCATCGCTGCTGCTGATCTGCGATGCGCGTCGCTGGCCGCGGGAGAGACCACACTGGCAAAAACCCTGCCTCACGCTGTGTTGCTCCGATCGCGCCGCACCCCGGCGCGGAGGGCGCAAGCGAGTGGTGGCGGCGCGGCAAGCTCGGGAACGCGCCGCGCCGACGCCTGCCAACTGCCAACACGCCGCTGGGCTTGGCCGGGGTGTGGACGGAAAGGGAGGGTCCAGCGAGGCTCACGCAGCTGTGGGTGTTTTTTTTCCAATGAAGGACCGAAGTGGGGAAAAATCAAAAGGTACGGATACCGCTCCCAGCGCGCGTTCTGGCCAGAATTTCGAAACGAATCCAGCGGCGGCTGGCGACGAGGGCATTCCCAAGAGGCTCCAGAGGTGGGAAGGAGCGCGTTTCACGGGCGCTTGCCTTGGGAACGCTCGGCTGCGCGTTTCAAACCGGGGGGTGGGCCCCCCCCCGATCAAAACCAGGGGGATCCCCTCCCCCCCAACCCCCCCCCTCCCCCTCCCCGGGGGGGACCCCTCCCCCCCCCCCCCCCCCGGAGAAAGACCGATTACAACCACTTCGGATTGTTCACGAACTACTTCGGTCGGATTGCAACCACTGGAAACGGACTGATCGCAACCTAAAGGATTCCTATAAAAACCTGTTTTTTTTCTAAAGAACACCAGATTGCAGCCGATCCAAGAGCTTCTGCTGAGATTATGCAGAGCTCTCTGAGAGGCATCTGAGAGGCCTGTCTCTGAGAGGCCTTTGAGAGGCCTCTGAGAGGCCTTTAAGAAGCTTCCCTGAAGCCTTTTTTCCAAAGGCTTTTCTGAAGCCTTTCAGAGGCTTCTCTGCAGCCTTTCAGAGCCTTCTCTGAAGCCATTTTGTTCCATATGCTTTTATGACGCCTTTTTTCCAGAGGCTTCTCTGAAGCCTTTTTTCCAGAGGCTTATATGAATACTGTTTTGTCGCATAAGCTTCTCTGAAACATTTTTTCCAGATGCTTCTCTGAAGCATTTCAGAGGCTTCCCTGAAGTCTTGTTTCATAAGCTTTTCTGAATCCTTTTTTCAGAGGCTTCTCTGAAGCCTTGCATGGGGCTCCTCTGAGGCCTTTGTTGTGTCTTCGCTGGGGCCTTCTTTACGAGCCTTCTCTGATAGACTCCTTTTAGGCTTATGATATGCTTCTCTGGGGCCTCTGCTAGGCTGCTATGCAGCTTCTGAAACGCTGCTCTAGGGCCTCGGAGAAAAAACTTCTCTGAGGCCTCTGGGAACAATATCTGATAGGCTTCTCTGAGGCCTATGAAAAAAAGAGGCTTCTCTGAGGCCTCTGGTAGGCTTCTCTGACTTTTCTCTGATACGCTGCTCTGAAGCCTCTGATCGGCTGCTCTGAGGCCTCCGGGGGGTTTGTCTGAGATGCTTCTCTGAGAGGTTTCGCGCCCAGATTTGGGGGGCGGGGCTTTGAGGTTTCTGCGAGGGAGGCTCGCGAGAGGCTTCTGAGAGGCTTCTGGGAGGCTTCTGAAAGGCTTATGAGAGTTCCCACAGGTCGCACAAATCCACTGTTCCCACAGGTCACACAAGTCCCAAAGATCCCGCCGTTCCCGCCGTTCCCGCAGGCCCCACAGGTCTTGCGCGTCGAACGGGCGCCCAAAAAAGTCTCGCACGCCGCGCAAGGCGCACACGTCCCCCAGCCAACGTTCCCACAATCACCACAGGCCCAGACCGCTCGGCGTCGTGACAACATGTGTTTCTGTTTCGGGCTCTGGGGGGCATCGCCGGGCCCAGGTGCCGTGCAAAAGTGAATAAGTATGCTGGTCTACTGTAGGTTCATGCGGCGTTGGCACGCCAGCGACGTTGGCGAAGGTGTTCAAGGCTACATTCTGCGACGCGGAAGCACCGACGGACACGGTGGGGCCACTGTACCCGACGAAATTCAACCTTGAACGATCGGAGCCGCGATCGATTCAAGGTTGAACGATCGACGCGGTGCCAAAAGCCTTGCGAGTGCCGACGCCGCAAGCATCTACCGTAGGGAAATTCGTCCAAACATCTGGGGGTCCACGTTCTGGAAGAGAGAAACAAAAAAAACATGTAGTCGGGGGTCCGGGCAGCCGCGTCCACCTGCTTTGTCATCCTGTCCTTTACTTTTCCTCCCCCTCCTCCTCCTCCTCCTCCTTTTCCTCCTCCTGCTGCTCCTCCTCCTCCTGCTCCTGCCCTTCCTCCCTCCCCTCCTCCTTCTCCTTTCCTCCCTCCCTCCTCCTCCTCTTCCTCCTCCTCCTCTTCCCTCTCCTCTTCCATTTGTTCCTCCTCCTCCTCCTGCGCCTCCCCCTCCTGAGATGCAATATGTTTCACGCAGGGCGTTTTCGCTCAGTTTCGGTTTCAATCGTAAACGAATCACATGGGAATCGTATGCGGATCATGGCCTCGTCCGAACTCAAATACATGTGTTTAACTGAGATCATGATCGGCCGTCTGTGATCGGACCGATCGCAACAGCTTTTTCAAATTCCCGCTGGGCGGCCCGAGGGAGCTCATTGCCCCCAGAAGCGCTCTTATGATCTCATCCTCAGTCACGACCTTCTTGGAACGACCCAAAAACATCGCAAACACTTCGGACCGATCGCAAGTGGTTGAGATCGGTCCGAAATGGTTGACGATCGGTCCGAAGTGTAGTGTTTGCGATCGGTCGTGTATCCTTCCCCCCCCCTCGGCGCCGGCGCCGGCGTCGGCGCTGGCGGCCGCCAGCAGCGCCGACGGCGGGGACGCAGCGACGATGACCAGAGGCAACCCGAGGGGGGGGGGGGGTCAAACCCCACCGCCCCCCCCCCGGCGACGGCGACGGAGCCGGCGCTGGCGGCGGCCAGCAGCGCCGGCGCTGGCGCCAGCGACGGCGGGGACGCAGCGACGATTACCACCACCACCACCACCACCACTACAACTTCCACCGCCGCAACAACCCACCACCACCACCACCAACCCACTACACAACCACCACCACCACAGCCACCACCAACAGAACCCCATTCACAACTCACTATCACAACCACCACCACAAAACCCACCACAACTACCATCACCACCACCAAAATCTACCACACCACCACCACCGCCACAACCACCACCACTACCAGCAGCACAACCCACCACCACCACCACCACCACAAACCACAACACCACCACCACCACCGCCACCACCACCACACCAGCACCACCTCCACAAAACACCGCCACCACCACAACCCACCACCACAACCACCACAGACCACAACCACACCACCACCAAACCACCACCACCACCACAACCCACCACCACGACCACAAGCCACAACCACCACCAAACCACCAAACCACCACCACCACTGCCGCCACCACCACCACAAACCACCACCACAACCACCACCAACACCACAACAAAGCACCACCACAACCACCACCACCGCCACCACCACCACCACCACAGCCCACCACCACCACCACCGCCGCCCGCCGCCGCAGGCGCCCGCGCTGGCCCAGAAAAGGAAATCGTCGTCCCCGCCGCCGCCGCAAGCCGCGGCCGACGCAGGCGCCAGCCCGAGGAGAGGGAGAGAGAGGAGTAGGGGATGAAGGGGGGGAGGAAGAGGTTCGAACCCCCCCCCTCCGCCCTCCGTCACAGGAGGGGTCGGGGGGTGAGGGTGGTTCGAACCCCCCCCTGCTATTCAGAGGGGGAGGGTCCGGTTCAATCCCCCCCCCTCCAAGCGACCACAGAACGCGCTGTTTCAAAGGTAGCGGTAAAAGTGCGTTTTCCCCAGGGCTCGAGCTAAACCGTGTTTCTCGTTTTCGTTGTGTGCTCGTTTTCCTTCCTTCTGTCTTCACTCTGCCTCTGCTGCGAGCACGAAGCGAAAACGAAAATGGCCAACGAAATCGCCAAAACACCGTTCGGCTCGAGCTCTGCCTTCTCCTCATCTGACGAGGTGCGCCTGCCTGCGGGACCGTGAACCAGCCGCACGCAGCAGAGTCCGCGCACCCTTGCCTAGCCTAGGTCGGGCACGTCGTCCTCCTTCAGGCGGATCTTGGAAGAAAAAAGCAGCCATATAGTTAAACAAGTTCAAACATAATAAACAAGAACACGAGAAATCGTCACCTGACTGTTTTCTATCTTTTCTTGACTATTCCTCCTGAGGAGGGACCTGCCGACTCAGGTCTAGCGCCAAGGCGTGGGGCCGCGCCGCCCGCAAGGGGGGGGCCCGCACGAGGCCGGCGACGTCGACGAGCCTGCGACGAGGAGCCCGCCAACGAGCCCGCGATCGGCAACGCGCAGAGGGGGGGCGGGTGGGGGGAAAGGCGTCCAAGAAGCAGCACTGCCCCTGGAAGGCGCGGGCACTGCCCGTGAATGCAAGGCCCGCGCCTGCTGAGAAGCAGCCTCCTCCCAGGAAGCCTTCCCCCATCCCACTGCGCCCCTTTGCGCGCCAGCGAGACTCGGGTCGGGCGAAAGGGGGGATAGCAAAGCGGGGGGTTGAGAATTAGCACGTAGCTGATTTTCCCGGCGCCTCCCGGCGCCGGAGGCGGCTATGTATCGAGGAATGGGCCCCTCGGTGAGGCCGAAACCAGCTGCACGCAGCAAATTTCGTAACCCCCCCTTTCCCAATCCCCCCCCCCCTTCGTCCGGCCCGAGAGACGAGCCTGCCTTCGACGACGAGCCCTGCGAGGACGGGCCGGCCTGCGTGTCCGCCTGGCCCGCGAGCATCAGGCGCGCCAGCGCGCGGGCCACCTGCCAGCAGGGGAACACGCCGACCCGCCGGAACCTCTGCGCGCGGTCGCGGGCGCCACACGTCCGCCCAGCGCCGCCGGCATCGGCGTTGTCGGCAGCGCTGCCGCTGCCATCGACACCGCCACCCTCGTCGGCGTTGCCGACGCCACCGCCAACGCCGCCGTGGCCGTCGCCGCTGCCGATCCGGGATGGAACTGTCGGCCTGTGAGCCACGAGGCCTCCCCGGAGGCCACGCAAAGATGCGCGCGCGGAGGGCTGTGTGGGGCTTCCGCCCGTGAGCCACGAGGCCTGGCCAGAAGCTGGAGGCTCGACGGCTGGACTCACACGCAGAGCATGTGAAACCACACTGAAAGGGCCCAGGGACACACCAGAAACACACGCACACACAAATCCCAGGATCCCCAATATTTTCCTAGATGTTCTGGGTTTTCGTCTTCCCCCACTTACCATAGATTCCAATCTTTTCCTGGGAATCGATGATTCACTGCATCTGTGTTTTTTCCCCTCCCGACGTACGCTCGGTCCGCACGCAGGCCAGGCCGCGGGAGGCCCGAGGGTTGGGAAGGCCTTCGGACACGTGCGTCTTCCGCGCTCGACCATGCCAGCCGACTCTTCTGTCAGAACTGCGCGTTCTTTTGGCAGATGGGCGAATTATCCAAACGGAGCAGAAACTTGCTACAGTCGGGGCGTTGACCTAAGGAATCCTAAATAAGGAACGAGGCCCCTTTTTTCCATAAGTTAAACTTCGATTTCCGATCGAAAACATAAGGGAAACCTGAGGCAAGCTGTGAAACAATCAAGGAACACGGAGCCCCTCCCCAACGAAAAGGGTTCCTTCTTCAGGGCCCCGACTGTATCTAAAAATCATCGTCGCCGTTCGGTCCGGTCCCCAGTCAGGTCCTCTGGATCAATCCTCCTCCCACACACACAACTTGTCTTCAGCCTATCTTGCCCAAGTTTTCGAGATGCGTCCAGCCGTGAACAACAATCGCCGAACTACATGGAAGCGCAGTCATACCTTAACAAGCAAAATACATTGAAACGGTCTCGACAAAAACGTCTGAAAACGCCGACGTCCATTGTGATGAACACGTCGGCGTCGACCTCGATTGCACAGTGATCTGTTCTCACTGTGGGCACTATGAAGGAACTGGCCCTTCCCCAGGAGGCGACTGTCCAGTCTGAGTCGTCTCCTGATGGCCCACGACGAGGTTTAAAACTGCGCAGGACTGACCACTTGTGCGCCTCTTTCGCGACGCGAGGGACAGACCACTAGAGAGCAAAAAACCCACCCCCCAGGGGAAGCACCCCGACAAGCGAGGCCGTTGGGTAAACGCACCCGAAGAAGGAATCGAACAGGGCAGGGCTGTTTCGTAAACGCCCGTGGCCGTATACTAAACGCCAAATTGTGGGGTCCGGGTGTTTTTTTTCTCTTGCGCCTGGGGGCGTCGCCGCCCTCCGCCTCCTCCTCCCTCGGCTCGGAACAGAGGGCAGGGATCGTAAAAGGGGAGGGTTAGCGAATCGGCCCGCGCAGCTGATTTTCCCGCCGCCTCCCGCTGCCCATGCACCATGATCAGAGGAAGCGCCCAGCGGCAGGGCCGAGACCAAGTGCATGCAGCAGACATCGTACCTTGGCAGTGAGAGGGATGGCAATGAAGGGGCCCTGGGACAGATACATAAATACACACAAATAACCGGATTCCCCATATTTTATAATATATTCTGGGTTTTCGTCTTCCCCCCACTTCCCATATTTTCGCATATTATCCTGGGAGTCGACGATGAATTGTGTCTGTGTTTTTTCTCCTCCTGAGACAAGAACTGTGCACGCAGAACCTTTCGAAGGTCCCCGCGGACCTTTTGAACGGGCGCTGACATCCCTCCCTGGGCATCGGTCGGACGTCCATTCCCTGTGTTTTGTTTGGTTTCGTGCGTGGTTGTTTCGCCAGATGATCAAGGATGCTCCTCGATTGTCCTCGCCGAAGGAAAAATGCACACGTCCGAGCGATGCCAAGCTCCATGTCGCACGGAGCGCGCCGAGAGCGCGCCGAGGGCGATTCGAGGTCAAGGGTGCCCAGCGCAGACCCGAAAGACATCCGCACGGACCTCCAAACATTGCGGCACATCCCCCACCAATACCCGGGGGACGTAGGACTCGAGTTCGGGAGACTCGAGCGCGCATTTGGTTGTTTGGTCCTTCTGTCAATCCCCCCCTCGTTTCTGGGGAGGTGTAGCCTCGACTTTGGCTGGCGGGACCCCCTCAGAAGTTTGATGCGAACTCCCGCTGCAAGCATCTGACAAGCACTGGACCGTCGAAATTCACGCCAAGACCGTGCAGACCGTTCACGGCAAACTCGAGCCTCAATTACGGTCCCCTGATTCTCGTCCGACACTCCCAAGCCCTTCCCTGGCCGCGAGACTCCGAAAAAATGAATCGGGGTGAAACAGCGGACCCTGGCAGAGCCTGAAGAGGCCCACCGGCTTTGGGGGATCTACGTTGCGGAAGAATCACGGCACGGCCCCCAGGGATTCCGACCCGCGCGACCAGCTTTCCATCACGAGTCGGTCGTCGGTTGTCGCGTGGCCCAGAGAAGGCCTCCAGAGAGCGAAAGCGTAGAAAAACTGGCCGTCGCGACTTTTGCTACGCCGCCTTATTCTGACGGGTCATCGGATGCTGGGTCGTGGGACCCGATCCTCCTCCTCCTCCTCCTCCTCCTCCTCAGCCTCCTCGCACTCATCCTCATTCTCCTCCCGTTCCTCCTCCTGCTCCTCCTGCTCCTTCTGCTCCTCCTCCTCCTCCTCCTTCTCCTCATTCTCCTCCTGCTCCTCCTGCTCCTCCTGCTCCACCTCCTCCTCCTCCTCCACCTCCTCCTGCTCCTCCTTCTCAGTGGCTCTCTCTTCACTCCTCCAATCCATGAACGAAGGGGCCGCTGCGGGGAGTCACACTGCTGCGTCCTCCTCCTCCTCCTCCTCCTCCTCCTCCTTCTCCTCCTCCTCCTCCTCCCCTTCCTCCTGCTGTCCCTCCTGCTCCT